GCCTCTCCAGTGATTCTGCCCCTGGGGAAACAGGGCGCAGAGAGGAGCCCCAAAGCCGAGGCTGGGGGTGGGGGGCTGGGGAATGGGAGGAGGAGGAGTTGGAGAAAACTGAAAAGGGAAGCTTGCAAACCAAACAGCAGACCCCTTCCCAGCTAGTGTGGCTGGCAGCAGGGCCGCCCCGAGCCGCGGAGGGAGGGCATGAGGCAGTCGGAACACCAGCTCTGTGGCTACCAAAGGCCGGCGCAGAGAGGAGCCCCAAAGCCGAGGCTGGGGGTGGGGGGCTGGGGAATGGGAGGAGGAGGAGTTGGAGAAAACTGAAAAGGGAAGCTTGCAAACCAAACAGCAGACCCCTTCCCAGCTAGTGTGGCTGGCAGCAGGGCCGCCCCGAGCCGCGGAGGGAGGGCATGAGGCAGTCGGAACACCAGCTCTGTGGCTACCAAAGGCCTGGAGACACAGGACAGCCGCTGAGACCACTGCTCCCAGGGACTCCGCCACCAGCAGCGCTGCCTGACCTTCCTGTAGCCCACCCCCACCCCACCCGCCCAAACCAGGGCAGGGTGGAAGCCTGCAGAAGGAGAGGGACTGCAGTTTGCAAAAGCTCCCAGGGCTCAGGCAATTCTGATGCGCCTTCTGCAGGGACAAGCGACCTCCTAGGTTCCTAGGTGTGCGGGGGGAGGGGGGCTCCATCCAGGTGTGTAAGTGCCGCTGTGATGTGCACGGACAGGTGACAGGACCCGGCTCCACCAAAAGGAAGGCAGAGAATGACCACCTGTGACCAGCTCAGCATCAGGTGCTGTTTCCTACATTCGGTTAAACACAGCAAACGGGCCCAACAGGACAGCACGGCCCACGCAGCAGCCAGCCGCCGCGGCTGCGTTTCCCTCGCCCAGGAGGCCGCCCTGCCCCGTCATCTGCAATCACCGCCAGCACCAGGGAGGCCACCGCCTGCCAGACCCGGCCTTCCTCGGAGGGCGCCCTCCTGGCCGCAGTCATTGGCTCCCTGGCAACCACCCCCTCGCTGTGTCCCTCCTGACCCTACCCTCCCGTTGGGCACAGCTCCCCAGAGGCCTTCCAGGCGCACACAGGCGCTGCCGGTGGGTCGGGAATGGCTGGTGAAGCCAGTGAGGGCCTCGTTTCACCCGGTGGGATGCTGCTCTTTAGCAGCCCGACAGTTCCCAAGTGCGGCTGTTGGTGGGGCGAGTCGGGAGCATGGGCGTGCTGTTGCAGCTGTTCGGTATGATTGCAATGTTCTACTTCAAATTCACCATTTCACAGATACGTGAACATGAGGCTAAAGTAACCCTAGTTTTTAAAAGTTAATAACAAATACACTACATTATAATACGATTCAGATGGCCATGGGATCTCACCAAAGTCATAGGGTCACTCAAAAATGACTGCAGTTCTCGAAATAGCTGCCTGAGCTGGTTCTTCTAATGCAGCGGTTCTCAACCTGTGGGTCGCCACCCCTTTGGGGATCGAACGACCCTTTCACAGGGGTCGCCTAAGACCATCAGAAAACACATATTGAATATATAATTACATATTGTTTTGTGGTTAATCACTATGCTTTAATTATGTTTAATTTGTAACAATGAAAATACATCCTGCATATCAGATATTTACATGACGATTCATAACAGTAGCAACATTACAGTTATGAAGTAGCAACGAAAATAATTTCATGGTTGGGGGTCACCACAACATGAGGAACTGTATTAAAGGGGTGCGGCGTTAGGAAGGTTGAGAACCACTGTTCTAATGGCAGACACATCCCCTCAAGGTGTCTGACTTATGTTTTCCTATGTTAAGTGAAGTCCCTCATATTTCCATAGAAATAACAATGTTTTCAGGTACTCCCACATTTTCCTTCGTCAGACAGTGTTTTCAACGTAAATTATTTCACAGCAGATTAACATTCAGTATGGCTAAGTCCGTACAAATATCTGCCTTCCCTAACACGCGCTCACCTAGCTGGTTATCCCATGATTGTAAGTCGCTGCCCTCTCATTTTGCCAAGTTTCATTACAGAAAACAGATGTCCATGTCATCTCCAGGGTTAAACAAATCCTCTCACTCCTGCCCGCTCGCTGTGGTGGAATGCGGGGGCGCCCTGGGTTCTAGTGTCACAGTGGCCAATTACTTCTCATGGAACTTAGAGGTTTCAGAGGAGTTCCCAGCATCGCATCAGCGTGCATTCGTTCTGTCCTCCCTGATGTGGGAGTAGACAAGTGACAGTGACAAGATCCGCTATCTCCTATCACGGCCACCCCGCATGCCGTGATAAATTTCCCACGCGATAACCTTCCCACTGCCACTTCCAGCTGCAGGAAAGACTAAAAACGTGAAGTACAATCATGACGTGCCGTGCGGCATTTGGACTACGACGGATTGCATGTATGATGATGGTCCCAGAAGGCTATCGCGGAGCTGAAAGCCTCCCCTCTCCTAGTAGCATCGTAGCCATCATGACATCACAGCACCACAAGCTCCCACTGCCTGCAGTGCTCAGCCAGGAACGTGCCGGCCGGGCTAACGGTCCAGGAGCAACAGGCTGCACAGACAGCCGGCACGCCGAGGGCTAGCCAGTCCGGGCGTGTGAAGGGCCTCCGTGGTGTGTGCCCGACGCACTTCTCAGAAGCCGTCCCGGGCGTTAAGCGACGCCTGATTGTCTCTGGAACGCGGGAAGGGGACATGGAGACTGGGCAAACCCGCCCCTCACCTCCGGGACTGTAACCACTGCGCCCCTTAACAAAATGAGGGCTCTGCGGGCAAAGACCCGGGAGCTGGCTGAGCTCCTGCTGGGTGTTCATCCGACGGCGTCTGCCGACCCCACCTCGGCTCTCAGCCTCTGAGGAGCCGCCGCTTTCCCGCTCCCGACTGTCCCTGCAGAGTCACTCATACACATTGTGCTGTGTTTACTGCATCCATTTATTTCTTACCCGAACGGTGGTATGCTGTGCACACTGCTCTGCACTTCCCTTCCGTCACCTAACGGGAGAAGTGGAGGACTCGTTCTATTTTGATATGTAAGAAAGCCACTTCCTTCTTTCTAATGGGCAACAAGATGCCACTGTATGAATATGCCACATATCCGCTCTATAGAAAGGGCCTCCTGGTCGTTTTCAGTCTTTGGCGATTATAAAATACAGCGCTGAACAGCCTTGCACATGCATGACCGACACTGAGGAGTGCCGGGAAGGAAACTGCCTGCGGCCCCCAGCCAGGAACCACCCGCACACCTTGGCTGTCTGGTGCAGCCTGCTGCTCCCGGACTACTGGCCTGTCCAGCATGTTGCCGGGCTGAGCTCTATAAACTTTTGAATTGGCTGCTGGCAATTTGGGGGGGGGAGATCACGTTACATTTATGGGTTAAAATTTAAAGAGCAGAACGCCCCATGTTAGTCTTCCCACTGACAGCAGAAAAGACCTTTTGTCACAGGTCACCGTTTCCTAATCTCGCACACACGTAAACATTTCCAAACTCTGGATGCACCGCACGATCCAGGACACCTTTCAGCCTCTGTGAGCCGGTAATTACTCCTGGTGGCAGGACAGGCAACTGTCATCCCTGGGCACTCCAGTCACCAAAACACTTGAGGACCATTTAAGGAAGAAATGGGAGCCATGCTGTTGTTAGAAAACCTTTGGTGACACCTCCTGGAAAGATCAGGAAAGTGCAAGCATCAAAACTAAAGGTGTCAGTGATTTGTAAGCAAATTCTTTCAAGAAATGCTACATTATCAATGCTCTTAATGGTACAAAGAACAGTTTTGTATTGGGGGAGGAGGGGGACACTGATTTTGATGACTCCAAAAAGTGATTTGGAAGAATCGTTCTAAATGCGGAGAATCAGAATAGTAATATCTTAACTGAGATACGGTTTAGATTTTCATTTTTATAGCTGCACGAAAGATATGAACAGGATAAAATGCCAAATAAGTCCAAGAGTTCCTTCAGTAAATAAAAAACAACACAACACAAAACTAAGCCCTAAGAGAATGTTGCATCAAAAGTACTGGCCACAGTTTATCACAGATTCTAAGTTGCACTGTATATATGTACACGGTGCAACTTAGAGCCAGCATCTCAGGTTTGAAGAAATCATGTTACTTTAGGCCCTCAGAAGTATTTCAAAGTTTCTCTCGTATTGATTTTGCACGTTCTTAAGGCTATTTCTATGTATTTTATCTCTTCTTCCATGACATTTTTTTCATCAGAATGCTATTTATTTTTGCCTGTTTACTTAATAGCCACCTTACTGAATCCTCTTACTATTTATAACAAACTTTCAGGGCATTCTTTTGGGTTTCCCAAGTATGCAATGAAATGAGTTTAAACTGAAACCCTAAACTAATGTGCTGGAATTTGAGCCCCATGAAGGTCAGGGCTGTGTGTTACTTTCAGTGTTCTATGCTCAGCACCTAGCATATTACTAAGCCACATCAATGCATCTTCATCAAACTAACCCCTCCCCACAGAGATGTTGAGTTTAGTTGAAAAAGCAAAATATATATGAGGAAATAGTATTCAGGATCTTACAGATCCTGTAAGAAACTGGGTATTTGATAACTAAAGCTCTATATGTTTGGTTATAATTGGTTCTATTTTAATAACTAAAAAACCTAATTATGAAATAAGTGTTTTACTTTAAACACTCACCTATTGGGTCTTAGATCTGATGACTCAAACTGGATATTCATGGGCCCGGGAAGTACTTCACGGTCCGCCTCAGGGGCGAGCAGCTGCCTGGAATCACTGTCCAGATCTGCCATTTCCTCCGACTCTGAGCGCTGCAGCAGTCAGTCCTAGATGAGTCAGAAAAGATGGATCATTTAAAGTTTAATTCAAATTCATTTCACTATTAAGAAATAATACATTTGCATGCATTAGACACTGGAAAAATACAGGAATCTGCTGCAGATATCTTAATGCAGTCTATGCCTAAAAGACATTTATTTTATCAGAAACTTGAAGTTCCTGCTTATTTTTCAGCTTGCTAAAAAATAAGTGGACCAATCCCTTTCCAGTAATAAAACAGATTTGGCTATTTGGACCCATTTTCCTGCAGAAAACAACTAAGAATCAGGCCCGCTGTTGGTAACATTAAGGAATGTTAGAGAGGCAAGTGGCCTAAGGGAGTTGCTTCTGCCCTGAGGGTGTTTGCTGCACTGGGGGTCCTGGGGTGACGTTTTCAGGGCCAACCGGGCTGGGTGGCTCAGCTGGACGAGTGTTGTCCCAGCACCAAAAGGTTGTGGGTTTGATTCCTGGTCAGGGCACATACCTAAGGGAAGCCACAGACCCATGTTTCTCTCTCTTTCTCTCTCCCTAAAATCAACAAACATATTCTTGAGTGAGGATACATTAAAAAAAGAAAGGACCCACACAATAACCAAAATTGAAAACTCAATGAATAGGTTTAAAAGTTGATGAGAAAATGAATAAACTCAAGGATTAAATCAGAAGAAACTACCCAGAAGTGACGGGGGGTGGGGAGAGACAGAAAATGTTGGGGAGAGACATAAAAGACAATCTGCAGACTCAAGAAGCTTAATGAGTCCAAGCAGAATTAACAAACAGTATATTATAGGGTTGAGACCTACAGCTCAGAAAGAGATTCCTTGTAAAATATTCCTGCTCACTGACAATGACGGTCACCCAAGAGCTCAGGTGGCGATGGGCAGTGAGATGAATGTTGTCTTCATGCCTGCCAGCACTACATACATTCCGCAGCCCAGGGATCAAGGAGCAACCTTGACTTTCACGTTTTATTATGTAAGAAATACCTTTCGCAAGGCTATAGCTGCCATAGAGAGTGACTGCTCTGATGGATCCGGGCAAAGTAAATGAAAAACCTCCTGGAAAGGGTTCACCACCTGGATGCCATTGAGAACACTCACGGGAAGAGGTCAAAATGCCAACACTAAGGGGCGTTTGGAAGAAGTTAATGTAACCCCCATGCAGGGCTGAGGGGTTCGAGACCTCGGTGGAGGAAGTGACGGCCCATGTGGTGGAGACCGCAAGCGAAGGAGAATTGAAATGGAGCCTGATCTGGACTGAGGTGCTGCGATCTCACGGCAGATCTTAACGGAGGAGCGCTTCTTAGGGACCAGCAGGGAAAGTGGTTTCTCGAGATGAATCAGCACCTCAGATTTGAAGAAATCGCCTCCTGCTGAGGGTGCTGTGAAGACTGTAGAAATGACAACAAAGGATTTGGGATGTTCCATAGACTGAGCTGGCAAAGCAGTGGCAGGGTGTGGGAGCACGGCCTTCAATTTTCAAAGTTCTATGGTGGGTGAAATGCTAAAAAACGCATCCCAGGCGACAGAGAAATCATTAGAAGCGAAGAGTCAACCCGGACGGCAAACTTCACTGCGTTAACAACTGCCCCAGCCCGGAGCCCCCTCCGCCGGATCAGTCGGCAGCCCTCACCTTGGAGGCAAAAAGACTAAGCCCCGTGGGAGGCTCAGAGGACGGTCGGCAGTTTTTAGCAATAAAGTGTTTCCATTGAGATGTACGTTTCTTGGACACAACGCTATTGCACACTTCACAGACTACAGTGGAGTGTAACCATGGCTCTATAGGGGCCGGGAAACCAAAAAGTTCGTGCGCTTTGCTTCACTGCGGCGGCTTCGTCGGACCCGCGGCGGCTCCAGGCTCTGCCTGAATTCTAGACGGAAGAGGTCAGGCCACCTCCTACCAGGACACGCGCTGTCCCCACGGAGCCCGCAAAGCCGGGGAGGCCGTACCTGTCCGGCTGCGCCCCACCTGTGGTCCGAGCGCAGGACCCGGTAGCGGCGTCCTCCGACCCGCCCGGCAGCTCTGCTCCGGGGCAGAGAGGACGCCCCGATGCCCGCACCCAGGTCCCCTGCCGCCCCCGTCTCAGCCAGTGGGCATCTCAGGTGACCCTGCCGTCCCTAGGCTCCAGCGGGCGCCCACTCAGCCTCCCCCGGGACTCGCTCGCACCCGCTCTCCGCGAGCCGCGCGCGCCCCCCTCCGGAGCGATCTCCAGCCGGGCTCGGCCTCACCGGTCCCCCTCCCCCGAGAAGCCGCTGTTCCACCAAGAACTTCCCCGACTGACAGCCGGCGCCGCCGCCAGCTCAGCCGTTCCGCCGACTCCGCGTCCCGTGGCTTCCCCTCCGCTCCCTCCCGACAGGCGGGCTGCAAGATGAGGGAAGATGCTCTACCTGAGCAGGCCAGGCCCTCGGCCTCCAGAGCTCAGGGGGCAAGGTGGGAACCTTCCCCAGGTCTCGGAACTCGGGTCAGCCCGGTTTCCTGTACCCCGGCAGGAAGGGGCCACAGCCTGACCGCGGGGGCCGGCGGGGAATGGAGTTCCGAGAGCACTGGGCCGCAACTTCGGACTACAACTCCCAGAGGCCCGTGCGACAACCACACGCCCCTAGCCGCGGAGCCCCGCCCTGGTCTTGCCCATCACGGGGTGAGCGGGAGCGCGCGGCTCTGGTCCGGCGCCTGCCTCGGGACTTCCCGCTGGTGTCGCCTGCCTGCAGGCGGCTCCAAGGCGCCTAGAAGGAGGGAGGCCTCGTGGGAAAGGGCTGCTGCGGCATCGGCATCTCCATCGAGGGGGACCTCCCGTGCTCTGCCCCTCGGGCTTTGCTGGTGGTGGTCCTCGCGCTGGGCAGGGCGTGAGCCACGGACGCCCAGGGAAGCCGGCTGCAGGAGAACTGTCGGGTCGGCGCTCCTCCTCCCAGGTCTAGAGGCTGAGCTTTCTTTCCCCCACTGTTAAGTGTGTGGGCACATTAATCTCGGCTAAAGAGGGGCTTTGGGAGGCTTTGAGCGCCCTCCTGCCATCCCTACCGTTTCTCCAAAGCCGCCCACGTAAACGTGCGCCCCATAAATCAGTGTGTTTGCTGGGAAAGGCAGCTCCAGGCGCGTCCTTGAAGAGCGCATGGCAGCGCCTGCACTGTCACGTGATCAGCTGCAAGAACGAGTCCCCGTGTCATAAACAGCTAATGGCAGCTGGACTCCAGAAACGGCTACTGTCCCTGAGTTACCGATAAGGAACCGGCCCTAGAGAATGGATGACTTGCCCGAGGCCAGAAACTATGAGGTGGCAGATAAGCTGGAATTCAAGCCGAGGCGGTTCCAAAGCGTGTGCTCCAACTACAGCCGGAGGGGCCTCCACCATGGAAGGCGTGGCAACTGCATGGGACGTGACACATTGGAGCTTGACCCTCTTGACTTGCAACGGACTGAGATGCGATGTTTTGACTTCAGGATGGCGTGGGTGTGGTGCGCATTCAGTAGAAACCGTACTTTGAATTGTGATCCTTTCCAGGCTAGCGATACCCTCTCGTGCTGCAGGTCCCAGGAGCAGTGTCACCAGTGGGGGTACTCTACAGCGAATTCATCCCGGTAGGTGGCTTTGCCCACTGCAGTTACTGTCAGCGGCCTGAGCACATACACTGAAGGGGCCAGGCCGAACCGCGATGTTCGGCAAGTTAGGTGTGTTAAATGCATTTTTAATGAACAGGACATTTCAACTTAGACCAGTGATGGCGAACCTTTTGAGCTCCACGTGTCAGCATTTTGAAAAACCCTAACTTAACTCTGGTGCCGTGTCACATCTAGAAATTTTTTGATATTTGCAACCATAGTAAAACAAAGACTTATATTTTTGATATTTATTTTACATATTTAAATGCCATTTAACAAAAAAATGAGTTCGCGTGTCAGAGGTGACGCGTGTCATAGGTTCGCCATCACTGATTAAACCATGGGTTTACTGGGGCGGAACCCCACTGTACGTTGAGGAGCACCTGTAATTACTTGAAGACAGATGGAAGTTATTTTGCTGATGCTATCCTTGCTCAAAAACTTTTGCAACAGCTCTTTGACCTGCCTTCAGATCAGCAGTACATTTTTAGGATGGCTTCAGCGATAGCAATATTTTCCTCTTTCTCTGCATTCCATGCTGAGAAAATAACTTTAGGCAAGGCGGAGATGCACCCGTAAGTGGTGTGGAATGACATCAGCGAAAATGGCTGACCTGGCTCGGCAAGCAGGAGGTAAAGGCCGAGGCAAGTTGCACGCTGTTTGACTAAGCGTTGAAGGAGCACCCCAATACATGGCTAATTGGCAATGACCGGGAGAATTTGCTTGTATTTTGGCTTTTTAAAAAAAATTTTAATGTTTTTTTTCCAGGCATTTAATAAAGACATCCCTGTTAAATCACTAGCTGACTACTAAGCTACTGGGACAGACACTTCAGTGCCACACAACAAAGAATGCAGACTTTATAGAATGAGTAGACTGGTAGTCAACTTTAAAACCTGGATCATACTCAAACTTGGTGTGTGTGCTTTTAAATATATTTTTATTGATTTCAGAGAGGAAGGGAGAGGGAGAGAGAGATAGAAACATTAATGATGAGAGAATCATTGATTGGCTGTCTCCTGCACACCCCACACTGGGGATCAAGCCCGCAACCCCAGGCACGTGCCCTGATCGGGAATCGATTTGTGATCCTGGTTCACAGGTCTACACTCAACCACTGAACCACGCCGGCCGGGCACACCTGGTGTTTTAAATCAAGGCTCCACAGGTGGTGTCTTGTACTTCCCATCACACCAGGAAGCACAGGTCTTTCACTGGTGATACTGACTGTTCGGTGGGCTCAGATACTGCCTCTTCTTAAGTTCCTCTCTCCAGCTTTTCACCAGACCTTGATGATCACCTGCTAGATCAGGTTCATGCCACCCTCCATGTCTGAGTAACTTTTTCTCTGTGTCCTTAGTTTCTGTTTACTGAGTAAGTAGTTAAGTCCAAACAAATTAGTATGTGCTTTGGTCCTAACAACTTAGTAGCCATTTAAGAACATATATAAATTGAAAGAAAAATATTTTATTTCATTCTTAACCACAATTGCTTACTAATGGGATGCATATGCATGTGGGCCCTGCACAACTTCCTCAAATCAGATGGGACACTACTACCCCCGTTTCCTGGCCGATGGTGGATTTTGCACACTGGCTTAAGGTCACAGCAACTGCTGAGCACTCAGCTTTGCAGAGTATGATGTTCTCCAAACGCACGGACGTGATCTAATGTTGAAAGTGAGAGTTACCTCAGGCTGGGAGTTCACATGGTGTCTGGCAGAGGTTGCTGTGTTTTTCTCAAAATTGTAAAATGTCCTGGCATCCCTGCGAGTCTCCATGGTGCGCTCACAGTTTGGGAGAGGCGGGTCACTAGCCATGATTTTCCTGGCCTACAGCAAACATTGGCAAGCGTTGTCTGTAAAGGGCGCAGTCATAAATATTTTAGGCCTTGTGGCCATCTAGTGTCCGTGAACAATTACTACTGAACATGTGGTGCGAGTGCAGCCGACAGAGCACATGCAAACAGGTGCGTGGCTGTCTTCCAATTCATAGCAGCAGCAGCGGCTGGGTTTATCCCCAGGACCCTAGTTTCCTGACCCTGGCCTAGAGGACACAGAGTGGAGGTTTTTGTTTACCAGCTGGAATTCCTCTCAGGGGAAGAATTTGTCCTCAACAGTCTTATTACCCCCAATCACGTTATCAAACTTGTTTTTCTTTTCACGTTTCCAAAATGAGTTGGTTGCCTCACATCTTGCAAAGGTGATCAATTACTCGGATGATGTGGAGATACTTTGGAAAATGTCTAATATATCAGTTCTCTTAATCTGCATTGCTTTGGAGGCTTTAGTGCCTCTTTCTAAAGTGTGAAGGGTCTGACCTGTAAAGTTTGCTTCCAAACTGTGAGACACTTCTGAGGAAACTCTTGTTCTTCCTTATTACATGGGATTTGGAGAAACTGTGTGTAAGCTTTCCAGTGAGTCTTTTGAGACAGGAATCTTAAGGTTTTGGCCACCGCCACACTTTTCACTAGACGGCTCCTTGAGAGATGGGCTAATTTCACTTGTAGCACTTGGCATAGCACCTGGCATACAGTAGGTGCTCACTTAAAGCCTATTTAACAGCTCGATGAGTTTCATCTGTCTTTTTCTATGTTGCAATTTATTACCACCCCCAATTTAAGGCCTCCCGCCAGGGAGAACCAGACAGTAGCATGGACTGGCTTCAGTTTCTGGGGACGCACATCGAGGAGCACGTGCTGCCTGGTCTGTGTTCGTCCTTTTTCACTTGATGTTCACATCTTTGAGTTATATTATTTCCATCCGTTTCCTTTCCTCAATATTGAACTTCAGTTCTCATCAGAATTCACTTATTTTTTAACCAGAGCTAGCTCTCAGAAGTTATATAAATTGGGTGTTAAAGAACCATTTTATTGTAATATCTGAAGGCAACAAAAATCTATTCTTTCCAAGAGGTGAATAGCAGAGAATGTTTGTTGTGTTTAAAAAAATATGTTCATGCCAGGAAATATCTCCAAGCTGTCCATACTTTTAGAAAAATCTAATTGGTTATCTTTCGATCTACAGTTTCTTATCCTGCTCTTTTCGTTTAACATCAGACGTTTGAAAGAACCACGTTCAACGCAGAGTTGGTTAAGACACTTCAGAGGAGCCTGCGTGGGAACGCAGAGCACCGGGTGCCCGAGGCTGTCCCCACACAGAGCCGCCTCGAGGACACGACGCGAAAATCTGGTGTAAAAACAAGTCGTTAAGCCTGACCTGTGTGGCTCAGTGGTTGAGCCTCGACTTAGGGACCAGGAGGTCGAGGTTCGATTCCAGGTCAGGGCACATGCCCGGTTTCGGGCTCGATCCCCAGTGTGGGGTGTGCAGGAGGCAGCTGCTTGAAAATTCTCTAATCATTGATGTTTCTCTCTCCCTCTCTGA